AACTCTGGTAAAACTTTGGGATACCTGCATTGGTGAGTTTAAGGTCTAATACTCAGCACTTTTATGTTTGAGAAGAAAAGTTGCCAGAATTTCCTGATTCTGCTTTAAAATAGATGTTGCATACTGTACCAGGGTATGCAGAAACTTAATAGTCTAGTCTTTTCCCAACTTTCTCAATGTGGCTACCAACAACCATGTATAATGATGGAAGGCATTTCAGTTTCCAGGGGCACAGTCTATTGACCGTCTTATATTGGATAACTTAAATGCTACCTACAATGTACTGTAGACTGCGTCTTTCAAGAATCAGAGTTAATAAATTTTTATAGCACTGGAAAGTGACACACGTAATAAATGTTACTTGTCTTTTCCCCAGGGCAGTATCTCCTAGTTACCAGTATTCTTAGGAAATTCTTCAATGAGATCTTCCAAAGCATTAAAATTCTCATTTCTCTACTGGCTTGACAGAGCCCTGTGGGTAATGTGGCAGATCTAATAGCTGCAGAAACTGAGGGGAAGAAAACCAGAATGTTCCTCCGTCAGGTCACCTCATGGGAACACATAACAGTTACATAGGACTTCTAAAAACTCCAGCTCAGATAAGTACAGACACAAGAAACAGAGCAAAGTTAAATCATCCTATTTCTCTTGTTTCTAAAGTTTACTTCTGATTTTTAAGACTTCATAATTAGCATAACCTGTGAGAGATTTCTTTAGGGAAAACTTCAGTTGAGAAAAATAGTAGAGACTGGCTTTCTATAATTTATAAAAGTGCAAAATTAGTGATGATTTTATTTATAAATACTTAATCACGTTTTTAAAAAATCTACCTTATTGAGGTTCCCAGTTTAAGGTATTAGCCCATTAGGCTGTGACCACATCTTTAGAGGTGCATAAGATATGTTATTCATAGACTAGCCATCTATACAATCCTGGTATATGTTGTTTGATTCTATGTAATGTGCTTTCTGCTATTGCTCTTTGAATTGTCCATTTCATAAGAAAAGCCAGTGGCTTCTCTATCAACAACAGAGACATAGTCATTAAGTATGGAGCAAACTGATAAAAAAAAAATACCCTTTATGCCTCAAAGATGCTCAAGATCAAAGCAATGCCAAGAGTCATTCCTGGGAATGAAAAATGCTGATCTGGGAGCTTACTTGAAGTCTCTTTTCAAGGGGCCTCCCTACGTTCCCACGAAGATCTTCAAATGAAATGTATTTGCATGTGATTAAGTTCGCTAGCAGTTAAGAATCTATAGTTTTGAGAGATCACGTAATTCTCTCTGCTGTATCCTAAACCATAAATAGATGGTATTTTCCTACCTGTTCTATCACACCTACTTACAGACATCTTGATTTCTGAGCATGTGGGTTCATCTTCTGTCAACATTCTTCCAATCTCATTCCAAACTTTGCCTGATGGAACTTCACACCATTTCAAACACAGTATTCCACCTCTTGTCCACCTAACTAAAAGATGACAGTGGACAAACCTTGGTCCTTTAGTTTAGAAACCAAAGTAATTTGCTGCTATACTATATCTATACATAGTCCCTCCAATGCTGGACCTGACCCGAAGAGAGTTTATTATTTTTATTTATGATTTCTCTGCTTTCATTTGGGTTCGCATCTTTGCAGTCATGACTTTGAAGGCAAACCAGTCTAGAAGAACCTCTTTTTCCCTTACACAATCTATCTGCAGGTCATTGCTTAAACCAGTCCATGTAAATGCCTGTGCCACAGAGATATGCTGATTTTTGTATTTAGATTCAAGAAGGGGAGATTTCAAAGGCATACCAATTCAGCCATAGAAGAAATTGTGAGTAATGCCATAAAATTGGTCACAAATTTTTTTGGTAACACAGAAAGAGCTAATTTTTTTTTTTTTTTAAAGGGAATAAAAGTGCTTCTAAAGCTGTCTTGGAATAAATCATAGCTTTCAGATAAATTCACATTTGAAAGGATTATCAACACCTTTTACTGACACCAATTAAATAGAACTAACAGAGATCCCTCTGAAAGGGGCTGAGCAGGTCATTGAATCATTGTCTCCAATCTCCAGGAGACAACCTCTAATTCCAATCTCAAGGTACTATATTCTGTGGTTCACCATGAGATTGCAAGCATAGGACATGAAAGTATGTTTATTAACTAATTAATGTAGACTCTGCTCAGCCCCTTGCCTGGAAGCCAGATATAGCCTCTGGGATTTTCCAGAGGGCATTCTAGGAAAGGTTGTGGCTATTGAGACCCAGGGACAGCAATTCTTAAATTGCTTCCCTTAGGATGGAACTTTCTGTGGACTTTTGTCTCTTGGAACCAAAATCCACGAGACATTTATTAACAGGTGATATGAGAATTTCAATAAAAAATGCAATAACCCTGAAAATAGTGTCTTTAAAAATCTATGTACTATTAGTAACAATGCATGCATAGTGCCGTGCATTCATAACTATTTGGTCATAAAAATATGTGACTGTAATTACGATATTTATAGCCAACTTATAAAAAATACATGTAATTCTGAATGGCAATAGTTAACTCCTAGCTCTAACCATAAGCATAGAAGGATCACTTTAGTATGAGAAAGTGCAATGGTTAATTACAAAATGGACAAAGCTCTCACCCTCTTGAATTCAACATTCAAGGATGGCTATTACAGCATCATAGTGGCTTCACGCGTCCTAATTGTTCCTCTCACCTCACAAGGTAAAACACAAATTCTGTGGAAACAAATGGGAATCAAATGGGAAATAGAACACTTATGTGACGCAACCACAAAGGAGAGTAATTTCTTTCATAGAATATTCATGCATAATCTATCTTCAAAGAGGTTCATGGTCACTGGAAGAATTCATGGGCTGACATTTAAACATGCCTTTTATTAACAAACATTAAGCATGGTCTAAGTTAGCATATGATTACCTTTAACCATAAGAGGTTGAGAATCTAATTTTTTGTCAAATCAATCAGATAGGATCACCTGCAACAAATCTCTTTCTGTAATTTAGGTGGGTTCCTCTTTGAAGCTTTATAAGTCATCATGGAGAATGGCGTTAATATGGTAATTTCTTATTCAAATGTAAATTCTGACCAGAGGAAACAAACCCACATTCTAGTTTAAATCCAGAAGAGATGCAGTTTTTGCAAACTTTTACAAATTTTCTCACTTTAAGGAAAAAACTCATTTCAACTAAATAAAATACTCCACACATCTGAGATAGTCCCCACAATGTCTTCTCTTCTAGGAGTTGATGGATCATCTGTTGGCAGTAGATCAGTTCCCAATTTGAACACCATCAGCACTTCTCAAACGGACAAAACCACGGGAGTAAACTTGAAAAATTAGGGAGAGGCTCATACAAGCTATCCAATGAAAAAGGTTAAGGTTGAGGGTTACCTGCAAATCATGATCTCATATTCTAGAATGTAACTTGGCATTCAGTAAATGGAAATTTTGGAAATACATGTTTCACAGTGACGTTGGGAGGTCAGATGATGCTCAGTAGATTCTTCCTGGACTTAAATTATTTCTGAGGACTGGGTTAAAGCATTTTGGGTGGTACATTAACTCTTCCAGAACAAGGAATTCCATTTCAGTAAATTATTGCTACAGTTCACTAGAGAGTACCAAGTTGTCCTGGAAAAGATAATGTCTCTTCCAAAATGCCACACCTGTAGCCACTTGGACAATGAGAAATTATACTTATCGCAGACACTTTGATCCTTAAAGATATAACCTAAAAGCAACTGTCTTCCCTATTCAAATAAAGACTATCTAGATGAAGAAAGGATATTAGAACCGCCCTGTTGGTTTGGCGGTATATGCCACTATCTCATTTGGCAATTGACATGCTTGCTTTTTTCTTTATAATAAGCCTATCAATCTTATTTGCATGTAGAATAGTCTTTGATAATCAAGAGAAAACTGACCTAAATAGGCAAACTTTTGAAAAATAGGTGAATGAATGGAGTATGGCACACCATGGAAAGAAATGGACTGATAGTTAATGGAATTTCTCAGCTGATTACCTCCGATATTATGGAAAACATATAAAACAAATCTCTGCAAATGATACACAATCAGTGAAAGAGGAATTCCTCTACCCCTAAAACAAACTCATAGAAATTTCTGCTTCAGATATGAGATCATGGTCTGGAGGTCCACTAGTGCCAAATATCAATTCATCCTAGCAGAGCAGTTCATGAGGCAAAAGGTTAGGGTTATCTGTGACATGACTTTACAAATAATGTAAAAACAACCCTATGGTTACAGGCCATTCTTTTCCATATCCAAATTTATAGGTATTGTGCCCAGATGAACACAGTCAAGAAGACATGGATTATTTCTACTAGAAACTCAATAACCTCCAGGTAGGACAAAACAAACTCCATTCAGTAAAATACATATTCACTCTAAATGTTTTTCATCTTAGAGACTGTTCTGCTTTTCCTTAATATTCTGGTAAACTATTTATTCGTGAAAGCACAAATGTTTTGTTACTTCGTTAATCTATTGACTTCATTTCCAGACACTGCAACCAGAATGGGATGGTTTGTATCTCTTTTCTGAACTCAACTGAGTCCAGCAGTTTTTTTTTTCTTTTTTCCATTTTTAGATTTTAATAACATAAATTCAATAAAAACATGCAGCCAAAGTTGGTGGGAACGAGTGTTCTCTTTCAGGTAAAAGAGCTTACTGGCAAATTTTATAATCACTGGGCATTTGTTCAGTCCTACCTGAAAATTAAATTATTTTACTGCCTGGCATGGAAAAAGGCATTTTCTAGTAATTTTCTGTGACAAGAAGCACAAAATTAATTCAACTAAGCACCCAACAGACTGAAGTCTATCAGCTAGGGAACAGTTTTAAACTTAGCTCAGCGAAAACATTTGCCTCAGAACGTTTTTTTGAGAAAGAAGTCAGCAGCAGTTACAGTTAATATGCCACCTGTAGAGAGCTGTCATCACCCTAGGAGGTGGACCAACTGAGGAGCATTTTCCAGGTAACAAGAACAATGAGATTTCAGGAAGTTACAAACAATATTGCAGTAGTTATAGTGACCACTACTATAGTGATCATGGCCTGGATTAATGTTTCAAATATTGATGCAAGGAACACACAAGAATTTATAGGATTAGAGTATTTTCCTTATGCCAAGAACCAGTTAATGGCGAGTGATGAATGGCATCAACCCATTTTACTCTGTTTCAATCCACAACAAGTTTCCTAGTTATAGCTCCTTTCTCCATGTTAATTACCTATCCCATGGCAATATATTTTCACCATCTAAAATGAGAATGCTATTAAATATGGAATACCCCAACTCACACACACACTTGCATATCCTTACACACATACGTATGAACAAAATGTTGGAAGTGCCCATTTGCAGTTGGGTAAGCAGTCATATCAGACTTCCCGAGTACAGGGAACTATTTAAAGCCAGAGAAAAGCCCTAGGAACTATTTAGCTCTAACATGAGATTTTAAACCTCTCCCATGTGGAAATTAATTAAAATGTCTTTTGTTTTCTTTGATAAGTCATCCAAAGCAAGAGTTTAAAGACTTATAACATGCTATGTAGGATCTAATGGACTCACGTGTCTGTTTATTTCGTTTATCACACAGTTGAATAACACTCTTGCTGCTGAAACACTTGCGTTTATTTCGAGCAGCTATTAATGAGTCTATCTATTTGACCAAGGCTGATGTGATGTTTCAGAGAAAGGCCAACCTATCTGCAAATGGACATCTCCCTCCGCACAAACGTCAATGTACACTGAAGAGAAGTCTATGCATATATATTGCATATATACATATATATGTACACATAAAATGGATTGGGAAATCCTTTGGTTTAGACGGGATTAAGCATGTACTTCCCAAGTGCATAGGTTTCCTTTGACCAACCTGTTCAAAAAAAACAAATATGAAAAGTGCCATGGCAATTTTGACATTTCCTATGTCTTTTCTCCTATTTGGAGGCCCCCTTCGCCCTCTTCCCCATCTCTCCCACACATTTTCTTTTTAAAAGCAGTTCGGTCTTTTGGCCATCTATTTTAACACTCTACCGATTCTTCCGTTGCTTGGGAGGAGCTCTAAGATCACATTCTGAAATTTATCCTTAGTGGAGAACAAGGTTTCAAAGAACTTTTTCTCCTCTTTTATTCCCTCTTCCCCCCAGAAGCGGGCGCCTTGATGTAGCATGAATAATTCACTCTTGATCTGACTTGCCTTGTTACCCCTGGCCAGCCCAAGCAGCTGAGGTCTGGGCTTTGCCCACCCTACATCATTGTGCAATACTTGAGAAGAAAATTAATCCATTAGTCTACAACCCTCAGACTGTGGTGACGTGATCAGGGTTCTCTTGAATTTCTATGCATTCAATTTCCTCTCTCTCCTTTCGTTTGGCACGTTTCTTTTTCTTGTGGTGCTTTTTGGAAGGGGGAAAAAACGTTAGGAACACGGGTAAAATAACAAAACAGTGCAGAAGTGTGCAACCCCCAGTGAGCAGCAAGCATTTGAACAGTGTGAAGGTCAGGTTTGAAGGCACAAATAGGAGGGGGACCAACCCAATAAGAAAAGAAGTAACATTTTGCAAAATGGCTGTCCCATGCTCTTGCAGGGAGCTTTTTATACATTGTGTTCGGGTGTGCTCAGTTGCCAATACAAACGTGTAAAGCAGTGGTGCACAGTGGTCAATGGCAAAATTTAAAGTGTAGATAAGGCACAAGATAGAAATGCAATCCATGTCGATGTTCCATAATGTCATTAAGCCCAGAACGCCCAGTTCTATTGAGGTGATGCTAAGAATCAGCCAGAAGTTTCCCAGAGGGTGGATCACTAGGAAAAATGTCAGGATTAACACCAGGAGAACACCAAAGCCTGCAATCAGAACAGGCACCGTGACAGACAAGCCGTAATTGTCCATGAAAACAAAGGAGGGGTTGAACACGATAAATCGAATGCTCTTTGAGAGGGACAGGGGCCTCAACTTCTCCAATACTTTGATGACTTCCTTTTGCTTGTCTCTGCTAGTCCTGGCCACCAAATACAAGCGAGATGCAATGATATTGTTTTCATCCCCTGCCTTGGAGAAGATAATATCATTTCGAAAATGCTGGAATTCTGGCTTTTTTAAAAAGGAGCTCTGCAGAATATGGATGAAGTCACTCTTATTATTGGCACTGATGTTGCTGACTTTCAGGAACTGGTAATACTGCTCCACCCAGGACACTGCAGTGAACCCACTACAGAGCCTCCGGAGGTCTTCCTGGACACTGCTGTTCCAGTACTCAAGGGGCTCATAGACGTAGAATCCTATCACAGGACTATAGTTGCTGAAATATTTTTGCTGAACCATGGCATAGGAAACGCTTGGGGAATCACTGGCTAGTAGATTGATGATGTTGGCTCCATCACCGATCTGCAAACACCCCATAAAAGAGAAGGAGGCATAAATGAGATAGAGGATGACGACAAATGGCTTCACATAGATATTGGTAATCCATTCATTGTAATGCTCACGGAGGAAGTGCTGAATAACGTGGTGCTGGTAGGGGTTTGCTTCATGATGGGATGTCTGCTGATGCCCATCACTCATCACTGTCTGGAACCACACAGGCTTGCGGTCCAGGTACTCTGCGGAAGGGATCTTACAGCAAAAGATGCTGTGGTAGCGGTTTTGCTCAAGTTGGCCAGCGAAGACCAGACAGGAGCCAAAGAAGGAGAAAATGTAGAAGTAGTTCAACAGAATGGAGACACACATGTTCTGACAGAAGACCTTCACAGCCTCTGTGTTTGTGAATGGGCTGGCACCCATCCCAAAGGTGATGAAGTACAAGGAGCTGGTCATGGTATAGGTGACCATCACATCAGAATAGGCATCTGCCACCCTGTCTTTGAAGGGCAAATTCTCTCTGGTTCTCCGCCATCCAGACAGAAGCTCAAACACTCCTTTAGTTCCATGACCTAATGTTAAGAAAAAGAAGAAAAATAATTTTTTTCTTTTCTCCTGTGGTTCAAGTGAATTCCTTATAGATTATCTATGCTGAACGGTGCTTTATACTCTAACCTTCAAAGTGCTAGGATCCTCCTATCAGGGTCTCAAAATCTGATTTACACAACAGGATATATTTGGTGCATGTTTCCACTTTAGTAGAGTCCGAACTTATTGGCATTCTGAGAAAAATGAAACATTTATCGTCTATTCTACTACTATGAAAAGTTGTAAGTATAATGTTCCATTATGAAGTGATTTCTTTTCCCCTGCACACATACTGTCTCCCTAAGTGGATCATAAGTTGTCAAGGACAAGGGCTGCTATTTGTGCATGCTCAAATTCCCCTCAACACCAATTCAAGTGTGTATTCAACTGATTCATTGACCTATAGTCCCTAACCCCTGTTTCAAGCTGATTTCTATGCTGATTTAGGAAATTACAAGATGATTTGAACACTTAAAAATGAATTTAAATGATTTTACAATGTTGATCAGCTGCTTGGTGGCCAAATGGCTTACAAACCAATTTCTGTAGAGTTGATTAATTAACACTGGATGTGAGTCAAAAAAATCTGCCAGGCAACATAAAAGATAAGGCAAGACCTTCTGGGCCAGAGATCACAGCAAGTATTTCCCTTGGGCTACTTACAGAGCTTTTAATCCCATGGAGTGGGTGCTGATTAAATTTTTTTTCCTAAATTTTAATTATTTTGTTGTTGTTTTTGAGAATATGCACAGCAAAATGTACATCAACAGTTTCTACATGTACAATTTAGTGACGTTGATTACATTCTTTAAGTTGTACAACTATTCTCACCCTCCCTTTCTGAGTTGTTCCTCCCCCATTAACATAAAGTCACTAGCTCCTAAGGCTCCTATCCAATCTTTCCAGTTGCTGTCATCAATTTGATCCCATATAGATAGTTCTTAAAAGAGTGTAATACTGAAGGCAGACTTCTTTACTAGTTAAGCTAAACTATTGTTTGGTTTTAAGAAGACTTCAGGGAATATTCTTGGTTTAAGGTTTAAAGACTATCTCGGGGCAATAGTTTCAGGGGTTCATCCACCCTCCATGGCTCCAGAAAGTCTGGAGTCCATGAGACTATGAAGTTCTGTCCTACATTGTCCCCCTTTTGATCAGGATTCTTATACGGAATCTTTGATCAAAATGTTCAGTAATGGTAGCCGGGCCCCATCCAGTTCTTTTAGTCTCATGGCAAATGAGACAGTTGTTCATGGAGGCAATTAAATACACATTCCTTCTATGCCTTCTACTCCTCATGCTCCGTCTTCCTCTGTTGCTACAGATGAATAAAGACCAATTGTTGTGCCTTGGATGGCCGATCGCAAGCTTGACTAAATGTTTTTGACTGCTTATTAAAGTAACTGAAGAGTGCTTCTTTTTAACCACTTCTGTGCATTCTTTGATAAGGATAAATAGTCAAAGGGTTTATTCAACAAATGTTCATTGAGTGCCTACTATGTGCCCGACTCTGTTAGGTACTGGGCTGTTATTTCCAGGAATTAAATAACTAAACAAACCACCACTTGTTGCCTTGCTAGGAAAAATAGAAAGCAACTGGGAAAGCAAAGGTATTACACTATATCTGAGATTTCCCTGTCCTTCACTTTCCTGAATTGGCTCTGCCAATTATCGTCATGACACATCAACTAGTAACTCTCTGAGTGAGTGGAAACCTTCATAGATCACTCTTGCCCTTGCAGGCATAGCACTACTATATAAGAACCTTTTCTGTGAATGGATACAAGCTGTGCTTGGGCTATTCTGCAAGAAATTCATTAAATAAAGATGTAGCTTAAGGGCACAAAATGACCTAGTTTAAGAAAACATGAAAAAATGGACTTTATGCAGCACTTAGGTATTGAATTTATGTGTTTCAGACCCAATTCATTTAGTGATGCATTAACAAACATTATAATGGCTGGAGTCGTACAACGACCACTCTGAATTCTGGCTGTTCATAGATTTTGCCTAATTGGCCTACATAATTCTTCCTATTTTTCCTTAATTTTACTTGGTGCAGCAACTTGGACAATTAAAAACTTTATTTCCCAGCCTCCCTTTCATCTAGGGGTGGTCCAGTGCAATGGATGCTGATCAGAAAGCTAGAAGGAATGTTGTCCTAAATGGAATTGTGGAGCCACCAATGAGAGCCCTGCCTGGCCTGCCCTCCTCTGGAATTCTCTTTTCTGTAAGAAAACCAAATCTCCATTTGGCTAAGCCACTGTGAATAAGGTTTTTTTTTTTTTTTTTTTTTATTGTGGTGAATATATATATAACATAACATTTGCCATTTTAACATTTTTTACATGTACAATTCAGTGACATCAGTTCCATGCATCATGTATAACCATCATCACTATCCATTTCCAAATAAATAAGGCTTTTATTTGCAGCTGAACCTTTTCCTAAATGACAAAGTCAATTTTGTAGGTGAGCTTACATTTACCGAAGCCTCTTTTGTGGGAGTCTAAGAATTCCTGCTTTATTAACTAATTTGATTACATTTATTAGCTAAATTAACTAATTTGACTATAGTGTATGTAGGTTTTAATGTACATGATGCTTACCTTTAATCACATTGTTCAATGTCATCAATTATTAATTGTTATTGAAGGGAGCTAGGCATTGGAGTTCTTATTTTCCCCAATATAAGGCCTATTTATTTTCCAAAGTTCTCATTACTAGGTCTCCAGTCAGGAAGAATAAGGTTATCCCAGGGGTCTCTATCAGGTAGAAAGGGTAATGAAAGTTGCAAATAGGCAAGCGGCAAGTGGTTTCGAGGCAATAATCTATTCCTTCTTGCACTTAATCATTAGCTCAACATAAATTAAGTCTAGTAATTATTAGCGAACAACATTAGTTGCTCATTCCTATCTTCTGCAAGAATCCTTGACCAAACAGAATACTTGCTGTCTGATTCCCTTGACAAAAATATAATATTAGGATAATAGCTAAGGTAATTAAAAGAATTCTTTAATTAGAGCACCTCCCTTCAGAAATCAGGACTCTTGCTATCTTTGTAATCCCAAGTGGGAAAAGGCTACGTGGGGTTATGGATAAATATGACTTGCCTTTGCTAATGGTCACTTTTATGGAACATTAGGTACGTATGTAGGCCAGACTTCTGCTTTATGTAGTATAAGGTCTGTATAAGTGGGAAGATGATGTGAAATCATATTAGGTCAAGTAATGACTTTGTGGAATAAACACTGGATGCCCAACTTCCAAACTTTGTTTGGTAGTGGCATGTTTTACTCCATTCATGGGTTTAGATATTTTACAGGGTATTCCAGTAGTAATTCACTGATTTGATTCTAACCATAAGCAGTTCAAATTCATTACCTGCTATAGCCAGGGAAGTCTTCTCACTGTCTCATGAACTTACTCACGATCAGTCTTAACTTCTTAGCTTTGTTCATGCTATTTTCTGTCTTACAACACCTTCCTCTCATTGCTGGTTGTGTTAAAATTCTATCCATTGATCTGTTAAGGGTCAGTTCAATTCTCATCTTTTCTATGAAGCTATCTCTGACGATTCCAGACATGTTGACTTTTTTCTGTTCCTTAAACTCTGATTGAACTAATTAGTTATTCATTTTGAAACTCAGCCACATGCTCAGGAACAAAATGGTTTTCTCAGGATATGTCTCATCTCTTGAGTTGGACTGCAAATCTTCAAGGTCAGAGAATTCATTTTATGTTATATTTATACTCTGCAGAACATTTGGCAAAGTGATAGATACTCAAAAGATGCCTACTAACCTCTTAATGAATTAAATCAACGTTAATTCTTGATTCTAGATGGGCCCACAAAATGTATCTTTTTTTAAATTACTTACACTAAAACATATTGTGTATTTATAACTATGTTAAATGTGTCCAGAAGGGTTATGAATCATTTAATTCAATTTAATCCAACATATATTTATTTAGAGTTTGCAGTATACAAGGAACTGTGCTAGGCAATATAAACCAAAAAAAACCCAAACCCGTTGCTGTTGCGTCGATTCTGACTCATAGTGACCCTGTAGGACAGAGTAGAACTGCCCCATACAGTTTCCAAGGAGCACCTGGTGGATTCGAACTGCTGACCTTTTGGTTAGCAGCCGTAGCTCTTAACCACTACGCCACCAAGGTTTCCATGGCAATATAGAAGACATAAAGATAAACAAGAAACACAGCCTATTCCAAAATCTGTCAGTCCAGAATGTCATTTGAATTGGGTAACTCTGAGACAGAGATTATAACTGCTAATGCACCTCTTTCAAAAACAGGGATATATACATAGAAAAATACAATGTCACTTATGACATTGCCCTGTGACAAAGTCACAATATTTCTATATGAAGAAACAATGACACTAGTTAAGAAGAGAACATGATCAAAATATGCAGTTTTTATAAATATTACTTCTGGTTTCGTTTAATAAGAAAATATGCCATCATATTGTGAAAATAGCTTAATAGGGGTGTTTATTGTGAACCCTCAGTAATGCAAGTTAGATGTCTTTATTTATTACAGTGCTAGAAGTTCACTAAGTTTTTAGATTTTAAAATAAATTTAAGCAAATTAAAAATAACTAGGTATAATATCAATGGAATTAATTGTAGGGAAAGATAATTGCTTATAAAAGCTTTATTTGTTTAATGCAGTTTCTCAGTCTTGACACAATTGACACTATGGGCTGGGTAACTGTTTGTTGTAAGGATCTGTCTTATGCATTGCAGGATGTTTAGCAGCATCTCCGGCCACTATCCAGTAGATGCCAGTAGCACACCCCAAAGTTGCGACAACCAAATGTCATCTGGAGAGCAAAATTGCCCCTGATTGAGAATTACTGGTTTAACCAAAAGGAAAAAAATATATATATTTCACACACACACATTTAATCACCTTCTTCTAATTATAAAATCAGGACATGTCCCCATAGAAAATTTGGAAAACA